GTAGCAAATGACAGCCCTGGTGAAGACTCGGTTACCTTTGACTTCGCTGTCGGGTGGCGGGGGAGTCTGTAGGTGTGGCCGCTGAGTTTAAAAGGTCACTGTTGGGGGTTAAAGGTTACACAACATTTTCCTAAAGGAGAAGTGACTCAAAAACACAGCAGAGGAAAGACAGACTGACCCTTGTCTCATTGTGCACGGCAGAGGAGGAGGAGGGAGTGGGGCTTTCCACTGCGCTGCGGGCCGAATACAATACCATCTTTGAGTAAAAGACAGATTGCTGCTGGTGGAAGATAGAACAGTATTACAATCTACCTCTGTGGCTGCTTTGTGGGTTCACTGAATAACAAAACGTTAAGAAATTTACCTGCAGAAAGTCGTAAAACGTCCCTCGCTTCAACGAGGGAGATTCAGGCCGTGCCCCTGAAATATGCCAACACTCCCAGGCATCGTGAGCGAAACTACAAATTGTTTATTTTCATATCAGCCCGCGGTGATTTGAGAGCTTAGAGTCAAAGGCTGGCTGCAGTTAAAAGGGGATGGCAAGTGCGGGACTGAAATGAATACGAAAAGCAGCTGGGTTTATCTTCACTCGCTCTGTGACATGTGCTGCTAAGAGAAAACAGGTGACCCAGGAATGTGTGCTGAAACCTAAATGTAATACTGCAGCTCAAATGATTTGTTGCCACTTAGGCAAGTATGGACTTTAAAAGACATATTTCATATACTAATCGGATTTCTGTTTGTAAATCGTCCTCTTTGAAGAAAAAAAAAACCTTGTCTGTCCCCTTTTTCTTACTCTGGCTCTCTTTCATTAACACAAGCTCGTTACTGTCGCTCTGCACAAGAACGACATTTAATCGCCTAAACTGTAGATGTTAAACAAGTAGGTCAGACGGAAACAGAGACATACAGAAACCACAGGGTGAACCTTATTTTAATGCAGCATTAGATAAGAGTTTCAGATGTAACAGAGACGGGGAGTGTCGCCAACGCTCTCACACACACACAATGGATGGGAAAAGTAATAGAGCAAGGTGTAGATTTCCAGTTTAAGTATATGATCTTCATGCCTGAGCTCTTCAGACACACCAGTTGGATATATTTAGAGTCCCTAGCCGGTGTATCCATGCTACAAGGCAGACCACAATTATTCACAACACCGGAAGAGCCAGTGCTGGTCTGAGATCAGTCAAGAGGAGAGTGCGTGTGTGGCGGCTGGTACCAGGACAGGATTAACACCACCAGAGTCAGAGGTCACGACCAATGTGCCACTCATAATAAAGCAGGTGCAGTAAAGTTAGGCACTTTAAATGTAAAATTATCTCACATTCAAGCTAACAATATATTAACATGGCTTGCACGGTTTACGAGTGCAGCGTTCACAGCTGATTAATATAAAATACTCTCAGTAGATAGACAGAGGTTAAAAGACTTTTGTCACACATCTAAATGAGCAGTAATGTTGCTCTTCAGTAAACCAAATTTGCTGTATATAAAATGCAACATACAGCAATATGTTAATCAGCTACAACAGAGATTTTTCAACACATGATGTTTGAGTCCTGTTGAGATTGTTGTTGAGCTTCTCTGTGACGGTTTTATTGTTTGAAACTCTGCCTTTCTGCTCATTCATATCAGATAATTCTAGAAACGTGACGAAGTGACAGGAAGAATGAGTTTTTGTGCACTTCTTCTTTATATTGCATCCTGCAGCTGCCTTTCCTGTCCTCTCTGATGTTTCCTCTTCCACTTTGAGAAGGCTTTGTGCAATGAAATGCACAGCATATGTCATATACTTCCTATTTGTATAGATTTCTTAACAAGTAGCGGTCAGTGTACATTCAATGGCCAGTTGTGAGTTAAACCTGACAAGTGGTGGAAGAAATATTCAGATCGTTTACCTAAGTAAAAGTCCCAACACAGCAATGTAAAAAATATTACAAGTGAAGGCCCTGCATGAAAAGTCTTCCTTAAATCGTGATGTATTAGCAGTATATGTTAGTTAAAGTGTTTAAAAACCGGTACTGGTTTGGTGTCTCTGATTGATATATTATTATATCACCTAAAAAATAAACTTGTCAAACAAATATAGTGGCATAGAAATTACAACATTTCCCTACCTACAATTCTACAATTTCATTTTGCAGACACTTTTATCCAAAGCAACATACATCTGAGAGCGGATACAACACAAGCAAGGATCTAGTCAGGAAACAACAATCTGGATAAGTGCCATAGAACAAGTTCAAGTGTGATAGGGCGTTGATGTCAGTAGCAGGCTGTGTGGGAGGTAATAGGAATATTTTTTTTGTTTTTTTTGTTTTCAGTCTGTCAAGTGCAAAGGTGTTCAGTGAAGAGCTGGTCTTTAGTCTTTTCTTAAAGACTGAGAGGGAGTCAGCAGATTGAACAGAGTTTGGTAACTTGTTCCACCACCGGGGAACCACAGAGGAGAAGAGTCTAGCTATCGACCTTGGGCCCTGTTGTGGTGGTTGTATCAGCTTTTTGTTGGTCGAGCACAGCGAGCGAGAGGGAGTGTAGACCTGAACTTGACTGTATTATGCAGAGATGTGCTTCCGCTGTGTATTCTACACTCACTGATATAAGTAGGGTGGACAAAATAATAGAAACATTTGTATGCACAACACCATTTAAATCAAAATCATTACAACTACAGGCTCCAAAATGACCCTACAGTTGATTTAACATCTCTTTTTAACAGTTTCTAAAAAAAAAAAAAAAACTTGAATATTAGAAGTTTCATAAAGGTGGCAGTTACAACAGGACTGGACATGGCTGCATTACTTTCAGCTCAGGGCGATAAACTGGAAACTCTGCATAGGTTGGTAATTTCTTCCTCTCCATTAGCTGCATGAAGCTACATCATTATTATGCAGTGAGGCAGCTTGAGGCCCTCTTACCATAAGAGTGTCAAAGTAGCACCACCTAGCGGCCAAAACTGGATATGTCAACATGCTGGATGAACCAATGCCCTCTGTGTCTGCTGCAGTTATGTAATGAGAGTGCCTCTGCTGGGGTAACATACTTTTAAATATTTCCACCAAAAGACATTGAGGTGTTCTGTTGACCTTCATTTCCCAAAGGTTGAAACTTGTCCTTGGCGTGTAACAGACGTGCATTACAGCAATACAGACAAAAACATGAAAACACTACAATAGAGGAAACAGATTAAAGTGTGAATGAGAAAGTTACAGGCTGATTTGATATGTCTTACTTACTGATTCAACTGAGATGAAACTGGTTATTTACTCGATTGCACCAGTGTGGTGTTTTCTCCAGATATCCTGTCTCAGGTCTCAAACCAATTACTTAACTGCGCCCCCTGTCTGCCAGCTGTTCTGTCCAGTTCTGCACATTATCTTGTACAATGTTGGAAATGTGGCCCCACTCACTGTCAGATAGCACGATAAACTTGGCCTCAAGGGTTACCAGGATGGTGTCCCAGACTACGACCACTATATTAACATGGTAGATGTGTGCAATAGCACCACAGTTGCAAGTTGCAACAAGGTGAAGCCTGACGGATGTGCAAATAAATTGCTTTAATGTGACATTGCACAGGAACAGAGGTGCCTCAATAATTAGATTGGCTTTGACTGCTCAGATGACTCAGCTAAACTAAATTCCAAGATGTGTGTATAAGCTCACAGCTAACTGTATTACACTCTACATCTGGTACTTGAGAATGAACATACTCAATTTATTACTAGTAAATATATTTCTTTGATGTCACTTTTCAAAGACTGGACAAGCCCCGAACATGTTTTCTATCATGGAATGAAGCCTCAATAGGAGCACATTTACAAACTTCCAAAACAATTAGAAAAAACTACAAAATTACCAACACTGGTTTTTTTTGTTTTTTTGAAATCTTTGTATGCCAAGTATACTTTTTTTCTTCCTCATACTTTGAGAATAATGCATTAATATCATGATAGATATTACTCAGGTCCAACAAAATGTGCAGTTGCACACTCATTGGAGGTCAAATGCAGCAGTGACACAGTGGCATTGTTATTTGGCCCGCTGACATGTCCAAGCGAAGACTGAAAGATGCTACATAAACTGATTAGAGTACCTTAAATGCTGTGAGGACAAGAAACATTCACAACTACATTTACTTTAAGTACTTTTAGTACAATTTTGAGGTACTTAATGGAGCATTTCCATTTTATGCTAATATTAATTCACTACAATTCAGAGACAAATATAGAACTTTTTTTCTTTTACTTTACTGCACTTACACATTAATTCAATAACTCCAAATATGGTCACTAAATAATATAGTGCAATATTATAGATTAACATACAACTTTGTTTAACCTCTTGTTGGAATTTATAAGATACATAGCAGATGTGTTAATAATGAACCTTTACCAGCTTCATTATTAAAGTCATGACGGCATGCATCAGTTTTTACAATCCAATAATATGTTGTGAATTGTTATGAAAGATTGCATGCTTTTATTTGTGATACTTAAGTGTACTTTGATGATAAAATTTTGATAAACATTTAACTGCATGACTTTTAAATTGAAGTATTTATACGTTGTAGCATTGCTTCTTTGAGTACTTCCTCCACCTCTGCTTATATTTACAATAAAACGTATTCAAAATGTGATGGCAATGCAGTTGTTTGGCTCAGGATACCATGTTCCATTTATTCCTTCTTTTTTTTTTAACTGAGTAACAGATAAAGCTTTTTTTTCTTTTTCAAATCAACATGAAACTTCTCTTTAAAATAAGAAAAAAAATGCTGAATAATTAATAGTAAAAACGTGTGACTGTCCACCCTTCGCAGCTTTAACTTTCAACACTGAAATAAAAACCCAAGCCCTCTCTTCAGGGGGGCGGGCCCACAACGCAATGTCCAATCACAGTCCTCACTGCTGTCATGTGACTCAGAGTGACCAATAGCGAGCCGCAGATTATCCCGTTTGCCGCACCCAAGTAGGATGATGGTGGATGGGCGGAGCGACGACGCAGGGACGACAAGCGCAGGGAGATAAACCCACTCTGAAACCACCAGGGTAGGGGATAAAAATAGTGAAAACCACCGTCTTGCTTTCACCCAGAACTGTTTATATTTCATCACTTCATCAAAGAGAGGGTAAGTTGCGACATAATCGTTACGGTTTGTGTTTCAGCGGCGGTGTTTGTCGGGTATAACACGGCCCATGTGTGTTTTCTGTTTGTCGTTGTGTTCCAGTGTGGCGAGCTCTGTTTTGCTAATATGCTGCCTGTGCGCGGGGGAGGCTGCACTCAGGCTGCTGTGCACGTTTAGTCACTGTAAAACGAATATTTTTGGTGTTTCACTGCGGTGTATTGAATGTTCCTCCTCTCTGTGGGTTTCCTGGATGGAACAACAACAGCCGAGGGCCACTCACTTTGTGTCCGGAATGTTTTGCCCCCCAAGTATCGACAGCTAGCTGCACCGAGCAGGCCTGTGCTGCCATTATTTCTTTAATTTTACGTGCGCACGGTTACTGTAGCTGTTAAATATGGACTCTTATCCATAGTCGTGTAGCGGTTCCTTCCTGTGCAGGGCTATTTTCTGGTCGGGGTGTGTTTCGAAGTCAGATAATTTGGGTTGTGTTCAGCTGCGTGGGGATGGAGCAGCTTCCTGACCGAGGTCAGGCAGCTGTGTGTCCTGCATGGAGATATCTATGCACGTTTTTCAATTGTAAGCAGGTTTTTTAAAAGAGGAAACACCATGAGGTTAGATAGAGAACTCTAAATCCCAATGGGAAAAGGTGTTTGTTATGACAGCAGCCATATCACACATTAAAAATAAGCATAGATAAGAAACTGAACTAGATACTGAGATAAAAGTTGGGTCACACTTCAACAATAGAGTACAAAATGACAATAATAATGACAATATACTGCGCAATGGTGGTTAAAAAATCACATATAGTATGCTATAATGTCTGTATGTTTGCAGATTTATCTACAATTTAATACAACTGCAGCCTTTCGGATGCCATCACTTACTGCTTGTGGTCATCTTGTGGTGTTTATTAGATAAAACAGCCAATTAGGAGCTTGTGATGACCATTTTTTCTTCGATTTTCTTAGACTGAAGCGACAATGGACAATAATTTGTTGCTGCCTTAGTTGGCCAGCTCAAATAAGGCTTTTAGTAGGAGGTGGGGCTGGACAATCAATTGAAATATTAGAGAAATCACAATATGGCCAATTCCCAAATTGCAGAAACTGCAGTTTTATGATAAATGTAAATTGTGTAGCAACATACGATTATAAATGAGCATTGTGGTGCTACAGAGACGCTCCGGCCTATAAATCATAATCTATAGACGTAAGGGAATGCGCTTTTTGCTTGTTACAGAATGCAGCAGAAATCTTAATCTTTTTTCAGTCAGAAAGAAATTCAAAATAACATTCCCACTAAAACTGAGAGTCACATCACAATATTTGTTAATTTGCATATTATCCAGCCTTAGTAATAAGATGGAGCGGTGAGAAAAGCAAAGAATGCCTGTATCATGCAGAGACAGGTTTTTAATGTTTTGAAGTACATTGTTGTGTGTTTGTTTTTTGGCCCAGACTGTGGCACATAACCACTAAGCTGTTGCTGTGTTTGACTTCTTTATAAAGTCAACTGTGAAGTCCCTTCCCCCTCTTACTGTATGAGATTAGCAAATCCAAACTGCCAAGATAAATTGTCTGTGTGAGTGAGTGTGTGTGTGTGTTAAGGGATGGTAACTCCCTGGATTTGGTAATTCTGTGAGAATGAGTGAAACTCCCAAAGGATGAAGCTTAGCTCTGTCGGTCTGGCTCCATGTTGCCACCCTCGATACACACACTACACTACTACACACACACACTGACTGTAGATTCAGAGCTCAGTGTTTGTTTAACTCCCACTCCCCACGCCCACACCCTTGACTGCAGTGCAGCTGAAAATGTGTTCCTCATTTCAGTTCCATTCTCTCTATTTCACTCTTTCCTTCCTTCCTCTCCATATGTGATCACTTAGAAGAGTCTCAGACTTTTTTTCTTTTTTGGTAAGTCAGAGATGTGAAAACAGTCATCCGTGAACTTTCCTTCACACCATAGAAGTCACTAAAGATCATGTCTAGGTCACATATTTAAATAGAAAAATGCTGTACAGATGCACATGTGATGTAATAGGCCCCAGTGTGAGACGAGGGAAGCTGTACAGGGAGGAGTGTGTTGTTTCAGACGGCAATCTCCCACCACTCTGTTCCATATGACATGCAACAACCAGATAAACCTTGAACTGTACTCCCACAGTAACACAACGCAGAGTCTCGCCAGGCCAGGGCAGTTGGCGACAGATAAAACCTTTCCAATGCTGATGGTCTCAGTGATGGTGAAACTGTGGCAATGTATCTCTTGACTGTCTTCATTCTGGTAATAATTAATTTAATTTTACTGCTCATAACCTCCGAGAGTAGGTGACATTGTTTCTCAAAACGGGCACTGATCCAAAGATTAGTTCTTCTTTGTTGTGTACCGCTGGACGCCAGTAACTCAATTTTCTCTGCGATATTGATTAATGCAGATAGATTATGGCTATAGAGTGTAACGCTTGTTGGGACTCGTGCATTAAATGAGGTCCAGTGGAAATATTGCTAATGTTCTCTGCAGGTGGGTGGAGTTCTTTGAAAGGTTTCTCAATTAAATAACCACATCAGCTCTGCTTTGGACTGCTCTTTGCTTAATGTTTCCGTTTATTTTTGTTTCATCATCAGTGTCCGAGCACAACCAACCAGCGGCACAGAGATAGACGCAATGCTCGCTACAGTAATTGGTGCTGCTTGGTGGATTATATGTGTTTATATGTGCAAAATAGTTTAGATTGTGTGTGGAATCAAAGGAATTTCTGATGCCAAGGTGCCTGTTTCTTTTCCATGTGGCACTGTATTATATTTTTACAATACATAAAGATATTGCTACAAGATGAAGCAGTGTATAGTAGTATTATTGCTATGTAGCTGTTGTTCCTTATCTTGGCTGGTGGTGTCTGTAACATGCATGGGTTTTGTTGCCTCCATATTTTGTTGAATCCAATATTCTAGTTCGTCTGCTGTTAGCATGTGTTGGTAATAACATGATGACTTCTGTCTACACCAATTACGGTCTAGTGCACAAGACAAGACCATACATGGGGCAGTGCTAAAATGACACCTAATGCATTCCTACTGGTCACACTAGTTAAAGGGACTACACGCACACACACACACACACACGCACCCACACACCCACACACCCACACACACACACACACACACACACACACACACACGAGCAGTTGCTATTGGATTCTTCAGCCCCAGTAATGACAGGCATCCAGCTCAGAGATATAAAGAGGTCTTGTCTGAGTGCTTCCCTTGAATGTCTAAAAGCTGATTGAAACACCAACTGTAAAGTCACAAACACACACACACATTAGAACAGTTTGAGAAAGACCAGCAACACTTTTTTTTTTTCACCACAACATAATGATCTTTTCATTGGCGACTTCTTGATTGGCATTTTTTTGGACGGAGCAAAATGGATCTTTTAGTCACAGCTTAGTCATGCTGAAAGGATGTGTATAGTGCAAGCTTCCGGCTCTCAAAGCTAAATTATGATAGCAGTGAAATATGTACCAGTGCACTATGTAAGTTAGACTCTATAAAGGGCCAGACACACAGAGCAGAGAGCCTTGTGCTTGTCTTCATATTTCTATTGTGTTTTTCTACCCATCGCTGCTCCGTCACAGCTGCTGTGGAGGATGGAAACATCTGTATTGGGTGGTGTCATAGCGAGGGCAAAACATCAGTCATCTAGAGAAAACTTGGTTTGGTACAACAACATCCTGTTCCTTTCAAGATGTGCTTTTCCTGAAAGAACATGAGCTTCACGAGTGCCAAAGTGTTTTGCTCGACAAAGTGGATTTTTCAGCAATATGATGATACATACTGCAAAGTGATATATGTAAATGAATCTATCTGCTGTTGCTGACATTTTGCCACTCTGTTAATACCGAGGAAGGATGACTCAACAACTCTGGGTGCGTTAGTGCATTGTGGGTAATGCTGAAAATCATTTATCAGGTCTGCTTTATGATGGGTTTGTCCTGCATAGAGGAATTTGTGGTGCCACCACGTCAATGCTTTAAGCACACTGTTTATTGAACTGAGAAAAAACAGTGTATATTTTTAACCAGTTTTGTGAATTGTGGTTTCATTTAGTCAAGAATAATAGACACTTTTATTTATCAGGGAATACATTGGTTGCTTCGAAATAAGGTAGCAGACTACAGGACTTGTATGATTTTCAAAGCAATGTGGTGAAAGATGTTGATTTGTAACTAACAGACATTGTCCAAGGATAATATATATAGCATTTTATCTATGTGGCCTTGCTTTGCTTTCAGGTATTCTGTACCTTTACTCTGTACCTTTTTAGCCTGTACCTTTTTATATAAGGTTAAATGGACGTTTCTGTTCTTCATTACACACCAAGGTTTTTCAAAATTCCACAGTGAAAATGGAGATGGAAAGAGAGGTTTTTATTTGCTATGCAATACTCTACCTATCAGTAGCTCTGAGTGCATGGTGAACCTTCAGTGCTTTGAGGTATTTGTAGCAGGCTCCTCTGCAGCGGCACTTTAAAGGGAAAATTTCACATAAGGTGATTATGCCATTACTCTAGTCAGAGATAACAGCAAGTCAGCCACTGGCCGGTAGCCAGGAACTGCTCAGAGCAACTTTCTCGATCCATGTCTCCTTTCTGACAGGCTTTTCTGCAGGTTGGTAACTTGGTTATTGTATCTCCTGCATAAAACCAACAAAGTTGGTTATTCAAAATGCAGGAAGTTGGGGTTCTGCCCTTCTGGCTTGGGAGGAACTGAACTATTTTCCCCCAAACCTGCTGGTTTAGCATCAACAGTAAAGAGTTGAGATGAAATACTGACAGTCAGGGTAGCCATAACATCCCCAAGATTTACAGGGAAGTTTCTACTCTAGTCGGTACAGGGCACTTTCCACACTAATCTGTGTGGATATGAAAGTCAGGGTAAATGTGCCTTAAGGAAAGCAATCACAAGGTTCTCCATTTATACCATTACTTTGTTTT